AGTGCTCGGATTAAGAATCGCCTACTATGCATCGATTCACTAGTGACATACTGCCTTCTAAAGCATCTTAGCGCATTTATTTCCGTGTCAAAGGTTATCAGATACAAAACATTCATCGGAGACTGAACACCTATCGTCTCCGTTCGAAACTCATTTGCTTCACCAGGCCAACTGGGTCCCCTTGAAGCAGGTATTAGAGGGGTAAATTTCGCACTCAGTAAGTTGTTTGCATACGATAAAATGCAATTTGTTCACAATCAAGATATGGGTGTTTTATCTAGATTTCGTGCAAGCGAGTTAACAATAATGCGCTTGCTTTATCTGTGTAGCTCAGTATGAAACTGCTGTGCTCGTGTTATGGCATCTGGCAGAGTTGTACCGGACAACCAATCGACTGCACGCTGTTCCCGTCCATAATTTTGGCCCTGTCCACTGTGAAGATTCGTGGTAGCAAGTGAACCACACACAGTGCAAAAGTACCGTCGACATTTTCTTCCATAGCATGTTCCGTAAAACTGCGGCGGCGGTGGTGATGCAGTGGATAAGGGAGGCTTTGCTCCGTCTCTGATGAGACGATAGACTTTGGCAATTTCCGCTGCGGATGTAAAGGAAGTATGACAGAAATTCTGGGACAGTTATTGGGACTCATCAGTTAGGCGCAAAAGGATAGGATAAATGCTTCAGTGTTGACAGCTTAGGACTGTTATTCCTGGTCAATATATCCGCCCGCTAGTTTGTACGGATGGTGAACCTGAGCTGCTCGACCGTTTACGCCGAATGATTCGACCTGATTGTCCTGGTTGTTTTGTATATTTCAGGTGGATAGCAGTAGCGCTCACCACTTAATTAGCTGTTCCAGCTTATCGATAGGGTTGTTCATCTAGTTTTCAACAAAAAAGACCGCCTTGGTCCACCGATCAAGTTCCCCTACTCTCACTATCCTTTTACTGCTAGCAGTGCAGCAACTTTGTGTAGCTTTTTCTCTAATTTTCCATTTTGTGGCTGTACTTTCCGAATGAGACGTGATGTTATACGATCGTCCGCAAACCTTCGTATCCCTTAATTATTTTGTGATCACGCCCGGGTCAATTTTGTCTCTCAGTCGTGCTGTGCCCTTGAGATGCAAGCTGAACCACCCTTTTATTAAACTACTCATGGCATCGAAGTAGTTCAACAGCGGTTTATCATTGTAAACCTGGATGCTAGCTTTCGTCTCCGATTTGTCCAGATGCCTAGGTTCCTCCAACAAGCAGTTGAATACAATGAGGTAAGTAGTCCTTATGTGAATTACTCGACGAATCAATTCCATAATTCCATAAAGAGACGCTACAGCCGCCAAAAAGAACGATGTGGTTCGTCACACCTTAAATTACTGATATAACGACGATGTTGATACTACCGAACCTCCTTCATCGTGCAGTTTATTAACTAATCCTATTAGTAGCTCCCAGGCACCTCAAAAGGGCAATCCCTAAACGTACTTCGCTGTGTTTTTGGAGGCATTGCGGTAGTTAACTAGTTCTCTGTAGAAACAGGAAAACTTAGAGTTAGAGCCTACACACATCGAGGCAAAGTGGACGGTACGCCTCACTTGGGCGAAAAAAAATAGGGTGCAAGAAAGGGTGGTACAGAGCCGATAAAATAAGATGTAAATTTAAGGAAAGAAGTAAAATAAGCATTTCAAACCACAATCTGCAGGGTTCGAGCGAATTCACTGGTTTCCTCAATTACGGCCTATTTGAAGAGCAACCATCCCTCGGCATTGCGCATGAAATACGCTATTCAATATCCCTCTATTTTACTGACTATTTGGAGGGAGTTGACCCGAACTATAAAGAGTTATTCACTGGTCAACTTTCTTACACTCTTATACCAAGAAAACTATGAAACTGGCCATCTGTTATAAGTAAGTTAACCGTCTATATTTTGTAATGCACTACTCATAAGGTTGAAAATTCGTCGACAGCCCACGAGCGGTTTCGCCCTTCTTGAGGTTCATCATGCAGACACAGTCCCCGAGTTTCCGTCAGCCTTGTGTTCTACTTGAAACTAAATTGCACGAAATTAGCGAAATGCACTCATTTGCAAACTGATTTGGTTTTTCGAGAGACTCACCTGGAATCCAGCTGAATCTTCCATTTGTAATGGTTCCAGGCAACTGGTACTTAAGTGTGGAGTAGCTCACTATTTTGGTCTGGTGAAAACACCTTTGGCATAGCAAGACGGTATATAGGTCTTCTTCAACACAAGCTAATTGGTAGCAGATTTCCTGAAACTATTCAAACGGTGTGCTTGGGATATCTTTGATAGTCAGCCAGGATACCAGCCCATATTAAGGGGCTCAGAGACCTGGTGTAGTTATCAATAAAATTAAATTAATCTAAGGTGGAGTTGCACCCTAGCTTAAACTGAAAATCGAGTTTGTGATGTTTTTTTTCGAATATGGTTATACGTTGTTGGCTTTCATCGGCGAAATTTTCCAGCTCTTGAGGTAGTTGCAAGTCTTCTGTGTAAAACGGGCACCTGTGTGCTGGAGGTATAATAAATTGTCACTATATCCAGTGCTTGTGAAGCAATAGTTGTTCCCTCCAAACACGACTGCTCTAATACAAGCACTTTAATCTTTCTTTTCGACTATTGCTTGTAGTTCACTCAGTAATCACCCATCATTAGTGTGAATTACCTACCCTACTTGGTGAAATGACGAAAACAGTATAGATGAAGGACTTACGTTCAGTTAAATAACAAGCGTAAGCCTCTTCAGTCAGTCCATCTCGTCTTGTCATTATCTTCAAATGAGGTGGCATTATGGTAGCAACAACTGACTTCAAGGCCGTGATGAAGCCGTCGCCTAGCTTGATTGATACATTGAACAAACAGCCGCTGATTGGTCAACTGTGGTTTCCGTCACCCGATTGCATCAATATTGCTTGTCGTGACTTATTAAATTATCCAAATGGAAATGAATCGCAAAAAGCTGCATCCATTCATAAAATTGCCGATGGCTTTCAGGCTTCCTCAGTGCTTCTGTTCGGGATGTTCCTACAGAACGATCACTCGTGCATTTATTCAGTCGTCCACATAACGCGGTAATTCATGCCAGTTCCCCGTGTGTTAATGTAGCAAGTTTGACTAACTAACGTAGTGCTACGGAAACAGCAGGGCTAGTCAAACGAGTGTGGTGTGAATAAAAACTTTACAGGTTTCTCAACTAGCTACAGAGTTTTACGGTTTGTCGGCTGTTCACCCACATAACGCGTTTCATTCTTCATCCGCCTTTTGTTTCAAGACTAACACTTGTAACATAACATTTGTGGGAAGTTCTCGTGACACACACAACTGTCCGTCACATGGGGAGTACCAAGCAAATGGAATCACGCCATCTCGATCCCAAGTTCATATTTTGGTTGGCGGCAACTTCACAGCAAAAATCTATGATTTCCCACATGTTTCGTGACTTCATTCATTCGTGACTTTGTTTCTGCTCTTCGGTAATTCATCGGTGAATCAAAGAGAGGGGATTTTCAGTCTTAGAATAAGAGAATAAACCTGCATGTTACGCTTTCTAGTTTCGGCTGTTTGTGTGTGTTTACTGAACTGCAGCAATACGTCAAAAGTTTTGGTGCCAAACAAACGGTTTTCAAGACAGATGTTTCCGTGCATATTCACCAGCCACATAGCCAGCTAAGCTTGATTCCCCAGTACGCTGATGTTGCTCGTTGTGTTTGGTATCGTATCAACCAGCGCCAGCTGGCTTCAACTGGATCTACTGGTTAATATGACATTCGATCACCTCAAAATATGGGAATTAGGTTTCAATCCGTAGCTTATCTCAGTAGGTTTTCTGTTGAACTGGCATAATGATTAACGGACTTCTTTTTAGGGTTCCATTGCGTTGGATTTCTAAGATCGCTGGTATTCAGCGAACGAGTAATATCTCAAAATATTGGTGGTTCGGGTGCATTTATCAGTGGATGTTGATGTATTCACCGGGCATGGCAATTACACTGCAAAATTTCAACAACTATCGTTTTCCGATCACAAACCAAGGAACACCTATCGCCAGATAAAAATTGTATTTCGAACCCATAAACCGTGATATTCTTTATGTGTTCCAGGGGAATCCGAACGCTGGAAAGATGAATAATACTAAGCGCCAGAGAAACAAGAACACGAGGATGTAATGAGATATTTTTCGAAGTGTAAACAAGGTCCGATTGAGGAAGTTCCGAAACCCGCCATATTCTAACGGCTCATAGGATTCCCAGTAAATCGGAAGGAACTAGATCGTTAAATGAACAACTGCCTTTTCTTACCCGAAATTCTGGATATGGGGAAATAGAACAACATGGAGATATGTAGATGTTAGAGATAAGCCAGCGCTCAAAACTTTACTAAATGCAGATATTTTGTAAGGCTTTTTATACGTCAATACAGAGGCGAGATCGAACGTCAGGGTGACAAGTTTAAGGACATCAGGTGCCTTGTAAAATCGAGGCCTTAGGCCATGGAAAGGCTTTATCAATATGGTGTGGCGTAACACTGACTAGTAGAAAAGAGTGGAACGCAAGAACCTTGCTACACCCCCCGACTATTCACCTTTCACTGGTTCCTCTTCAGTAGAGCCGATGTTCTGACGGTGCTGATTGTTGCCAGCGAAACACTAGTCGATGAATCTATACGAGCCAGATTTCGATTAGTTGATCTTTGTAGCTTTCACACCATTCATCACAAGTGATGTAGCGGGATAGGTGTAATGAATCAGTGCTTTTATCTATTCAATCGAGATGTTAGGAGGTTTGCTCAAATTACGGAATATTGGACCGTTCGAATCAGATGGGAAATTTGTTACGACCGGGACAGTATGAAATTGGTCTTCAACACCTCTCTGTAAAGCGTCAGCATGATGCCAGGAGCATGGCTTTCAAATAGTGTACAGGCAGTCCGATTAAATCTAACGTCTTCAGATTTTGCACAGATTTGCCATTCTTTGGATAGAAAGTTATATTGTTGTGGAAACATTTCATTTTAGAAACGCGGGTGAAATGTTTTCTGATAATCAGACGTGTGGAATAGTTCCATTCGTAATGAAGATGCCTTATTCGGACGAGGTTTCGGTTCGGTCCACCTTAAATGGTTGACGTAAAGATGCAAAGCTGATGAAAGTGCGATATTTCAATCCTTAAAAACCAACGCAATTTGCGCACTATTTTAACGTACGTCAAACGTTTAACAGCCACTTTGTTCGTATTAGTAAATCTTCACAGCCCGTAATTTACGGACGGGGAACACTTGACAAAGCCTAGTTAATTTATGCAGTGCAGAGGAAACGGTTACAATTACTGTCTGGGCGATCCTTAGATTGTAAGTAGAAACCGAATATTTGACGCGAAACCTATATTACTTAGTGAATCCACATGGTCCACATGATCACGAAGGATATCGGATGCTTGTCCATCACCATTCTCATTTGAACAATCTTGGTAGGATGGGTAGCAGAGAAGTTGAGCGACATTTGAAAGGACAGATGCAACTCCGATAATTGTCTGGAGATTGCTACATGGAGAATCCACACTGAAAGCGAGGACATTTTAA